TCGGTGTATGAATCAGTTATAATAAAGTTAGTAGAAACAGAACATAAAATAGGTGTAGTTTCGTACAACACTGCAAGTTGCTACAAAACCAAGGAAACGTCTAATATTGCCACTACAACTATTAGCATTTATAAAATGCATAAACTGCAAATTGCTGCAGATTAGATTGCAGTAGATAATCTATTTTAGATTGCAGTAGATAATCTATTTTAGATTGCAGTAGATAATCTATTACAGTTTACGCTATGTTATCACTTATCAAAGTAGTAACATAGTGTGAACTGTAACAGTTCAGTTAACATTTTAACTTGGTACCAGTCACCAAGAATCAGAGCAGCGACGAAAACTGACTTAAAATGGAAAAAATGGGACGAAAAATAAATTTTGTTGCTGTAAATCAAGACTAAAAGTAACTATAACTGAAAATAGACTTAACAGATTCTAGAAATAGGCTTAACAGATTCTAGAAATGGGTTTAACAGATTCTAGAAATAAACTTAACAGATTTTAGAAATAGACTTAACAGATTCTAGAAATAAATAATTGTGCGAAAAACGCAAGTGACCCACAAAGCAGGGCAATGTTCTTCTCAGCTTGCTTGTTTTCCCAAGCACGGCGCCACAAAACAAGAAGCTGGGGTGGGGTCCTAAATAAGATGTTAAAATTTAGGAGCTAAATCAGATGTCAGAGCTGATGGAGTGCTAAATCAAATTTGACATTTTAAAGATTGCTGATTTTGTATATTTCTTTCTGATCCTCTCATAAAAATGGATATTTAAAAAAAACATTCTGCTGAAGAGGGATGGAATCCGTTATATTATATGGCCCTAGATGCACCCTAATACTAACACTGCTACTTTATTACAAATTAAAGCAGCAGACTCGTCCTTACAGAAGAATAGAAATAATTTTACACATTACACTTTGTAAATCAAATGCCAATTTCTTTATTTTTATTGTTTTTATCATAACGTTTCTGCATTCCTTAAGTGTTTGTCGAATTCAATAACCTTCTGGAAGTATCGAATAATGGACCTTTCTGTTTAATCTAATATTTTTCTTAATTTTCAATTTATGCTTAGTGTTTTCTTCATGCTTTCCTTCAGTACATTCTGTAGGAATTATAAAAGTTTTCTTTCTCGTCTCTGCTATCAATACTATGTCATCTACATATCTTGTGTTGTTAAGATTATGCCACCAATAATGAATGCTGGTAGGACGTCTATTTCTCTTAGTATCGCCTAACTGAATTGGTTGAATAAGTCAAGTGAGAAGACACATTCCTTTACATTTTTGTGTATTTACTGAATTCATTTTGTATCAGTATGCGTGTGGTTTGTTGTCCTGGGTATGACGATAAAATACATTCAGCAGCAAGGTTTTTAATCGGGAGATTCAAGTTTTGAGGTGTGTGGAACTGCCTCTTAATTGATTTTTTCCAGGCTCACCTTTGACTCGGGGTGGTAGCAAATATATATCTGAGATGAAGTATTATGTACACTATTTACATTATTCGGACTACTGTCCTCATCTTTGTTGCCATATTTATCACAACGTTGTACGCTCCGGCCTTCTTCAGGTGGTTGGAACGTCGAACTGAACCCTTTATTTCTCTCGCTGGGGTAGACTGTTCTAGTTCCATGTACCATGTCTAATAGATGTCAGTTATCAGTTATCTCCTGTTAATTCACCTCGCCAAGTCCTCCACTGCCTAACCGACGCCTTTATCCACTGTGCCATGTGTCCACTGTGGATAAAGGCGTTGGTTAGATCCAGTGACAGTGTGCGTTCAATAGCTGGTTAAGGCAGTTGAGAACTTGGAGAGGTGAATTAGCAGGAGATAACTGACATGGTACGTGGAACTAGAACAGTCTACCCCAGCGAGCGAAATAAAGGGTTCGGTTCGACATTCCAACCACCCGAAGAAGGCCGGAGCGTACAACGGCCGAAACGTAATAAATATGGCAAAAAAAGATGAGTACAATAGTCCGAATAATGTAAATAGTTTGCCATCATTTTTATATTAAAGAAAAATTGCCAAAAATATCGTATTTATATTAGTATTATCTAATGACTATTATATTAGTATTATCTAATGACTATTATCTAATGACTTCAAAGCTCCCAAATAAAATAAATTTCGCCATTAAATGACCCATAAAGAGTTGATATGCCGTTAAACAAACAAACCAGTCAATCAAAACAGGTGGTTTGCCACCAGTATAGGTTCTAGTTTATTCTAATATCCTTTCCAAATATGTCAAGGTTATCAATTACGGAAATTATAAAGTGTGAAAAAATGAATAAAGTATATAAAGAAATATTAAAACAAATAATTTATTCTAGATACGAAATATTCTAACTTGTCAGAAGTGAAATCCTTGTTTTATTCCAAGAACTTAGTTGCTGCGCGTTTACACCATAAGGTAAATATGTTCTTTTAATCCTTTCAGCTCTCAGTCACCAGTTCTTTAAAATTTGGTGCAAATTTAAAAACAGTAATAAAAAAAAGTTAAAAAATTTAAAAAAAAACTTTTCTTTGCATAAAAATTGTCAGAAAAAAATTTATGAATCTTTTTTAATAACGTTCACATTATCCATCTCATTTGTGTTTCAACTTGAAGCAGACGGGTCAAAAAAAGATCAAACACCTGCGCGTATGGGAATTGTTCAGCCCAAGTTGATTGTCAGAAAAACATTAACCTCTGAACCTGGAAAACTCGGATGGGAAAATGTCTGAAAACATGTCAATCGTTAGGAGCCTGCAGTTATATTTTACATTTTTTTTCTTTTTTTTTTTTTCATCTCAGTTGATTCATAAATTTCGACCGATCTGTCGAACTTCCGATCTGAAAAGATACCGAAATTACTCATTCGTCTTTCACTTCGGCTGGACTCAAAATCATACCACGACCTACCAAGAATAAAATAATCTCAAATTGTTTTAATTTACCAATTTTTATAGTTTTGTTTTAACTTCTTACTCTAAAATATTTACCCCCCACAAATTCACTAAAAAATGAACATGCCATGATGAAAAAATGCCCCAAGGTATTATCGTCAAAATCTGTATGTTATTATTAAGAGGAAAAACCAAATTTAATTCTTTTTAGAACGCTTTATTTTGATTAATAATTTTGTTTTCCTTGCCTTAGCAGAGGACTAATGATTAGTAAAGTAACAAATCAATGAAATTAGTTTTAAAAGTGTTTCTTTTTTAGAAAATTTTGATATTTATTTTTTTTTATATCTATTATTCCCACATTTAATTTTATGAAATTTCGAGAAATTCATTTTTGCACCGCTTAATATTTATATTAGATATATACAAAACTCATTGGAGAATTGAAATTATCAATTTGTTATTGTAAAACAGAACCCCCAGTTACCGAACATTTGCTCTGAATCTTAAAATAAAAATGCAGTAAAACTAAGAACTTATTTAATTAGAAAAAAGCATTTAATTGCTTTTATGAATGAGGTATATTATGGATTCTATTGGTTTAAGAAAAAATATTTTTGATAAATAATGAATTTTTACAAGAATTGTTTCCATCTTTTGAAAATTTTAATTAGCATAATTTATAGTTTTAAATCTATTAAAATTTTGATTTAATTTGTAGCAGTTGGGTGATATTGTTATTAAGTATAAAACTATATTTACTATAAATAGAAAAGCTTACTACAATTCAGTATTTTAAAAAAATTGATTTGTCTGTGTGTGTGTGTGTGTGTGTGTGTGTGTGTGTGTGTGTGTGTGTGTGTGTGTGTGTGTGTGTGTGTGTAAATATAAACATGTCGATTTTTGTAAATACGGACATCCATGCACAACGTTATCAGAAAATAAGAGCGCTAACTATACTAAATGTTAAGCCAAAGTAACTAAAATCCAATAAAACATAAAATTATGGGGAATATTTTCCTAAATTTTTAAGATTACTAGGTAGTTAAAAATTATATAAAAAGACGCCCACGTTATATTCCTCAATTAATTTTTAACAGCTATTCCCCCGTAGAAAAAAATTAAATAATCAATCTGTCAACTCTTAATCAAAGCACACAATTTTGCTTCAAATCAAATTACAGCTAGATGAAACCAAGAGAATTAGACATCCTACCAGGATTTATTACTGACGAGCACAATCAGCATAAGATACGCAGATATATCCGGGTTGGTGGCGGACACAGAAAAAAATGCAGGATCTCCTAGAAAAGGTCATAAAGGAAAGCTGGAAGAAAGGACTAATCATTAATTGTAAGAAGACAGAAAGTATGGTCGTTATGAAAAGAGACAGCTAAAGATACGAGACACTAACTAGAAAAGGGAAAATCCCCAATAGTTACATTTCTTTCGAGTACAGAAATTTAACTACTTGGGAAATGTTTTAACAGACGATGGAAATAGTGGCGAAGCAGTTCAAACGTACATTGGAATAGCAAAAGATGCCTTCCAGAAGCTAAGTAAAGTATTAAGTAAAAGGAAAATTTCGTTAGAGACAAAGAAAAACCTAATGAATTGTTTTATAATATCAGTCCTCCTATATGGCAGTGAATGCGGGACAGTTTCTTCACAGATGAAAAAAGACTTGAAGCAACAGAGTTGTGGTTTAACAAAAGATTGCTTATAATACCACAGATTGAACATGAGAGCAAAAAGAAGGTACACTTGCAATTAGAATCAGAAAGAGAGATCCACCGAATACACAATGAAGAAAGATGGTTTGGGGAAATTGACACTCACAGGACACAATGAAAACAAAAAGGACAGAGACAAATCTGGTAACTAACGATCTTGTGTAGGTGTACGATAGGAAGTTGTGGAGAGCCATGACACTACGTTCTGAAGAGACATGTCACATAAAATATAAAATAAATATTTAATTCACATATAAAAAAGTGAATGGAAGTACTCGGAATGTAGTTACTTTTTTTCGTTGTGTCGATTCAACAAAAAAAAAGAAGATTTATAAGGATGTTTATTTATTCTCCCCCTGTTTTAGTCTCGCCGTCTGTCTGTCTGTCTGTCTGTCTGTCTGTCTGTCTGTCTGTCTCTCTCTCTCTCTCTCTCTCTCTCTCTCTCTGCGTATCTCTTCGTCTGTCTCTTTGTTTATCTCTCGATCTGTTTCTCTGTCTCTTCATCTGTCACTATGGGTTTTTTTTTGTTTATCTTTGAACCACTGTCCCTCCGTCTATCTGTCTCTCCAACTGTCTCTAGCTGTTCGTGTGTTACATCCTGACCTCCCACTGCGCTTTCGATGCACACGTATTTTTTAAAATGTTACCAATCCAATGATCTTTGTCTCACTTCTCGTTGTTGACAAATGACACTCAACATGTCCATCGATAACGAAAGAAATAATTTATATAGGATGAAGTGTCAGCTCCGTATATTGGTCGCCGAGTGACGGGAGAGAGAAAGAGAGAAAGAAAGTAAAGACAAGATAAGAGGATGTCTTCTTCTTTTATGTACCGTGTCCGTTCAGGACGTAGGCAATCATAGCCCTCCACATCTTTCTGTCCCTTGTAGCTAAGTTTTGACTTTTTATTGTTTCTCCTAAACCCTGTTCTACCATCCATTTGTTCAAATATGTTACGCGCTGCTTTCCTCTTTCCCTCAATCTGTCATGAGAGTATCAAGTTTTCCAAGCCCTTCTTCCTCCATTTGTTCCCCAGAAATTTCAACTGCCTTTTCCTAATGTTAAATATAAGCTTCCTTTTTGTTTCCATTTTTTCGCATTTTCGGTCTATGTTACCTTTTTCAGTTTTCGGTCTATGCATCTTTTTCTAGAACCGCATTTCACTTGCTTCAAGTCTCTTCCTCGTCAGTGAGGTTTGGTGTGGTTTGTTCTGTTTTACGGTATATCAACCTCAATAGATTATTTAATGCCGACAAAATTTTTATTGATGGTAATATTTTGTTTTATCAAAAATCCATTTCTGGTAATATTTTTTCCTTCAAAAATTTATCGCTGGTAATATTTTTTGTTTGTTTAAAATTTATTGCTGGTAATATTTTTACAAAGTATTTCTGGTATTAAAACCTATTTATAATAATTGACCTTTGACCCTCTGATATTCTGTTGGGTTATACTGTTCTTTTTTTTTTTTTTTTTTTTTTTTGAGGCTTGCTTGTTTGTGGAGTTTTATTTTTATTCTTCATTTCCTCAAATTTGTTTGATGTGCTTATCGGAGAGAGTTGTATACTTTTTTAAATAGCGTTTTGTTTTTTATTTTATTTTTTTACTTTATTTTCAATTATGTCTTTATTAATATCCGGAGGCGGAATCAGTGATCTTTGTCGCTTTTCATTTGTGGATTCAGTCATAGAATTTTCTATGGGCATTTCTACATTGGTATCATTATTTAATTTTGTTTTCGTACAAGACTCAGCTTGTTTTATTTCTGTTGAATACATTCTTTTAAGATTTTCTTGGAATGTTGGTCATTCATTTGTATTCAAATTTATTAATTTTTCTATAAGTTTTTTATACTTATCTATTGGAGTGATGTTCTGGGGTTTTTGATTTGCCTTTTGTACTATATTAACATAAGTTTTTGTTCCTATATAGCTTTCAACAATTTTTCTGGCTTCTAGGAAAGGTATATTTTTCGTGTGCTTTACATACATTATTTCCTTTTCTCTCTTGTAGATATCACAGGTCCTTGAAAAGGCAGAGTGTTCTTCATGGCAGTTAGCGCATTTCACATTACTGCATTCATTCTCTGTGTGATTTGGATCACATTCACCAGACTTCCCACACACTTGGCGTCCTCTGCAAATGTCTTTGGGGTGTCCAAATTTTTGACAATTGAAGCACCGCAGGGGAGCTGGTACAAATTACTCTCCCCTTTCTATAGTATAGCCAATCCTGATTTCTTTTGGTATTACGGGTTTTCAAACGTTAGTATATATGTATGGGTCTCTATAATATCGTTATTTCTTCGAATAGATATTATCTTATTTACCTTTACACCCTGTTTTTTAGAACTCTTTCAATTTCTTCTTGTGTTGCTAATGAAAGTTCGCTGCTTTTTATAACACCTTTTAAAGCGTTTAACTTTACATGTGGATACGCTCTACATTTGATGTTGTGAAACTTATCCATTTCGAGTAAATTTTCACATGTTTTTTTGTTTCAACGTCCACTAGAAAATTACCATTTTGAAGTTTGTTTGTTTTTTTTACGTTTTTTGGATTCAACCTACTTGATATGATTTTCTCTATCAGGAAAGGTGATAACTTATCCAATTTGATTTCCTCTAATAATTCAATAATAATGAATCTTGAAAAATCTGTTTCAGTCGGAAAATGATAAATAACTTTTGGATTTTTTGAAGGAAGAAGCCATCATAAGTATATATTTTTCACTGGTCCTATGCTTCACCATCCGGGGGGGGGGACATTCGCCTTGGCTGAGACGGGGATACAATACCAGTATACTCATTTCGAGAGCAAGATTCTGGGCCTCTGCTAAATTCTGGTTTTTATTATACAACAATCTAACAGGGTCAAAAAGTCTTTTCCTCTTAATATAATTGACCCTCATCCCCCGTCTTCTAACACATATAAGATAAAGATTTGCGGGGGGTGCTCCCCAACAGCAGATTGAATAGTACGTTCAGGAGAAAAGAAAGATATATGTGCTAGGGCATGATGGGACCAGCCGATTGATTGGATTGGGCCTATCCAAACACCCGTCAGACCAAATAAGGGCCAAAGTGGTGTGTTGCAAGCCATTGACCACTCTGTCGCCGAATCAATGACTGCTCAACCACCGGGATTCCGTCCTAGCGCCTTATGGGTCACCACCCATAGCCAACAGGTGGCCCCATTGGGAGGATCTTACTCTCTGCAGAGGTGCAGTCGGCATAATGGAGATCGCCCAACATTCGCTGCCGTATAGGAGGACAGATATCATGCAACAGTCCAATACTCTTTCTTCGTTTCTAAAGAAAATTTTGTGTCTCTTAATACTCTGCTTAGCGATTGGAATACATCTTTGTCATTCCGAATGCCTCTTCGGAATCGCACTTTCCGACCTCTGTTAGAACACTTATCAGATATTTAAGTTTGTTTGATTTTAGTATTCCCGATTTGTAAGTTACATTTTGGGCTCTTACTTTTGTTGATAACCATGCATTCTGTCTTCTTGTAGTTGATACTTAGTTCTTTTTCTCTCTTTCCTTCGTTACTTTCTGTAGGTACTTTTTTGTAGTTTCCTTTCTGTGTTTGCTATCAGCACTGAGTCATCTGCATATCTTACATTGTTAAGATTGTGGCCGCCAATAATGAATCCTGGTAGGACTTTTAATTCTCTCAGAATCGCTTCACTGTATAAGTTGAATAATTCCGATGAGAAGACACATCCTTGTTTTACGCCCTTTTCTATTTTTGTATTTCTGCTAAACTCGCATTTTGTCCGTATGCACGCAGTTTGTTGCTAGTATAGATTCTTGATTACCCAAATGTCTCTCCTGAATATGTCAAGGTTGTTGAGCAGTTCTAACTAAACTTTGTGGCGTACTTCATAGATTACACCTTTGCGTAATATATGAAACACACATACAAGAGAGTGTATCAAGCTTTAAGTATCTGGCAGTAGAAGTAATTTTCAGTTGAAATAATTGTGAATCCAAATGCAGTTTTTTTTTACTATTTATAGTGTTGTTAGTTAAGCCTTTTATTATTGATTATTTTATTATTGGTTGTTATTTTCACTCAATGACCACCTAGAATAATTCGAAACAAAACCGTTATCGCCCACCAAAATAACTCTTAGAATAATAGAATAGAGAAACCCACAATGCAATACAATAGACTACCAACAATGTATCACTGACCAGTAACATATAAACAGTCGAGCAACACACATGACCTGACGATTGCGTTTAGCTTGAAACAAACTGTAGCCTCTGGGTGTTGACGTCGGTGTCTACTTTTATATTTATATTTTATATGTTCTGTCTATATTGTGCACTAAATATAGTATACCTTAAAACTATATATATATATATATATATATATATATATATATATATATATATATATATATATATGTGTGTGTGTGTGTGTGTGTGTGTGTGTGTTATGAAATGAATTAAATCCGACTTAAGTATTAAATAACTGTAGGACTTAAAATATTTCATAATATATATTGTCATTGTTTTTGTTAAGATACGTATTCGTGAGCAGAAATGACTGATCGAGAAAATCATCATGTGTTTATAAACAGTAATTCGGACTTTACTAACCAGACGCTTCTCTCTAGCTGAATGGTAGAGTACATCAGGTCGAATATCGAATGAGGGTTTCCGTATATGAATACAAGTCCGATCCCTGTTGGAAAATGCATATTTTTTACGAAATTTCTCGAATGTTCAGGCCTGTAAATGTAATTAATACTGTTAAATTTAAAACAGAGCAATTATTTAAATAAATCGTATCTTTAAAAATAACGTATAAACATTATATATATATATATTATTATTATTATTATTATTATTATAAGCGTTACATTTATTGGCTAGTCGTGATTGAGTTGACATCCCTATTAATACGTGAAATTAATTGAAATTAATATCAGCCGAGCTAGAGATCTAGAAAGCCAACTGAAGAAAAAAAGGTTTTCCTGACAAGAATCGAATCGAATCCAGCATAGAAACAACTTTTAAAATTACGTTGTTTACGTTTCGGGTACCAAAATGAAGCTAACAGATAGGGATTTCAAATGCTCCCTCCGAAATATAGATCTGGATCTTTGGTCTTTAGAGATATTTGATATTTACTAAGTTTTTAGCTCGGCAAAACACAAATCTAAATGAGAAAGAATAATGGTAAGAAAATTGTGTTGCAACAATCTCCCAATTAAAGAGGACATGGCCTTGAATGAATACTAACCCCTGAAACCATTCGGAAATATGCTAATATCTAGTTCACCATTTAATAAGGTTATCTTCGTCTGACACACTGCTCCAAATATGAGACAACTGATGTAAATTGAACTCGTCACTGGAATGGCGAAAAAGCTTGCTAACCATTTTCACTGACAAGGCAGCACGAGAGATCATAAAATCAAAATGATTCCTGTTAATTTATAGTTCCGAGAATGGTGAAATCTACAGATAAAAAGTATTGTTTATAATTCTACTATAAATTTGAATTGCTGGTCATTTAGCTTTAAAATTGTATTGTTGGTCATTTTACTATAAATATCTATTGTTGGTATTTATAAAAAATGTATTTTTATATTTTCATAGTGTTTTTTTTTCTTTTTTGGAGGTTCACTATTTACCCTTAACTGGGACCCTAATAGATGCTTTATTTAGTACCGCTCATTTATTGCTCGGTCTGTTTTCACTGTGTCTAAGTATGCATTACCCGGGCTAGGGATTGAACTCAAAATTACTATTATACCAAATTCACGAACGAACAGTTCAGCCCAACATGTTATATATTATCCATAGCAATTACTGAGTTGAACTAAAAAGAAAACAAGCCAAGATATTCCTGGACATGGGTAGCAGAACGAAAACAATTTAACTTTTTAATGTTACCCGGATCAATAGATAACAGAAGAAAGTTGGAGTTCACAATGGCTGAAACGTTGTAATAACAAAGATGAGGACATTAATCCAAATGTGAATAATGTGAAAGTATTTTTAAGGAACTCTCTTTGGAATCTCCAGATCATTCGTATATGTGTCTCCGTCTATCTCTCCTCAATTCAGTAAGCTCTTCTCTTCTTACCGTTCCTCTTCCTCTCAAGACTGTTGTGTACTCGATAGCATTTCCGATAATATAGACAAAGCCATCTCTCTACATCCGCTTGCAAACATATTCGTGTTCGGTGACTATAACGCCCACCATACCATGTGGCTTAAACACTCTGTAACTGATCTCGCTGGCATTCAAACCCTTAACTTTTCAATTTGCCGCTGGTGTCCCGCTGTTGGGTCACCGGCGTGTTCGTTTCGGCAATGTTACCACTGGCGGACCGCTAGAGACGGGCCGCCAACAGACTTCTAGCGCCTTGCGTGTAGGGTAGAGTAGAACTTAGCAGTTACATCTTGCAAATTCATCATTATAATAATGAGACCGAACTGACAATCTAGCACTGCGCTTAAATTTTGTAAAATCGCGGTACCAAGGAGGAAAAATCATCAGAACAATTACCATGAAAATACTTATTGAAAAGCCACAGGGAACCTACGTTACGGCGATGAGAATATGATTGAAACTGAGATGACAGGTTAGGACCGATAACATTGAAGATTCTCATATGGATTTTGTCAAGAATCTCTAGATACGTAGCAGAAACACCAGGCCAGATGTGGCAGTAGTGTTCAATGTACAGACGAATGCTTGACTTATAAAGTTATAAAATAGATTCCAGTGTGAAAAAAATGTCTAGTTCGACACAGTGAACCAACTTTCCTAGCAGCGGCCTTAGGAATTGATTCGATTTAATCGCTCAAATATATATCAGTGGAAAGCGTTAGACCAATAAGCCATAATGGGTCACTTTGCTGATGGAAGGCTTTTTTAAGACAATTAAAGAAAAGCAGTTTTGTTTGGGAGGCGTTAAAATTAACAAACCATTTCTGATGTTTACTTGCATCTTTTGCAGACGTAAGAAAATCATTTAACACGATGAACAATTTCATCCACATACCATTAAGTCTAAACTGGTAATCAAAGCTCAACATTGAAACAACGAGTGTAGATGAGAGAAGCAAACAGAAAAAAGAAAACTTTACACGCTTGTGAGTGAGACAGAGTTTGTAGAGAGGTAATGTTTTTATATGCATATAAGTTGGCCGTCCATATGAGAATAAATGTGCGAGAGGCGTTGAGACAGGAGGTCTATGTGACTTCCTTCGCAAATGTTTGAATCATTAATTCCATTGTGCATTCCTCAGGGGTCTTTGCGTGACTGACCAACGTGTATGCAAAAATAATAAATCCCTGGTAAATTAATTCGGCTGATACGTTGAAAAATAAAAATCTTAGGCACAAAAAGAAAAGGAAAACTGAATATGATGTAATGAAATGTTATTTTCACAGCAATTGAAAAATCTATCTCAGTTTGTTCATATTTATCTATCTATGATTTTTCATATCTATCTATCTATCTCGGCCTTTTCATGTCTACCTACCCACCCAATCTGTTCATATCTTTCTGTGACTTTTCATATCTATGTCAGCCTTTTCATAGCTACCTACCTAGTCTATCACTCTCTCTTTCTTTCTCTCTCTCTCTCTCCTTATCTATCTATGTCAGCCTTTTCATGCCTACCTACC